TTTAGAAAAGGAGAAGTAATAGCAATGGGTCTAAATTTAAAACATGTCGCAGTAGACGACTTAGGAATAGGTACAATTTTAATGTCCTTCCAAACGGCTGGCACGACATTTCTGGAAAAAGATTCATTAAATATGTCCATGAGAGGATAACACACACTGCACACTTCTTAAGAATAACACAAGGCAAACCATCTGGACCTAGGCTACAAGAAGGGTTCATAGACTGGAGACATTTTGGAACATCATTTGTAGTAAATCCAGGGAAGGAGGTTTCATTAATACTTGTAACACTAGAAAGTTTGGCATTCGTGGGAGAATGTATGGAGGACTTGTTTAGTTTGGAAACATCAAGGGAAAAAGGAATACTGTTCATCTTCTTACCACCAGTAATTTCTTTGAAAAGTTTCCATATGTTAGACGCATTTTTACAGGATATAAACTTTTGGTTGTAAATTGAATTCAATCTGTGCATTTCGGACTTTATCAGGAGGTTAACTCTTTTCAAACCAGCATTATCCTTCATTTTATATAATTTTTCTTTTTGTCTGCGAAGCTTTTTAAGTTGAGGAGAGGAGAAACGGTCAAATCTGATGAAGAGCGTTTCTCTGGGACAACAGGTGTCAAGACAAAATTTGAGATAACTTGCAATATTAGAGATTGTGTCATCAAGAGAGTCTTCTTTAAACAGGTCCTACCTTGTATCTTTGAGCATGCTTCTGAAATTCTGAATATTCTCCATAGAGTAACATCCATGTACAGTTTTCTTGGAAAGGTGTGAAAAAGTTCTCTTGTGTAATTCTCCATAAATTTTAGGTAAAACCCGTACAATACAATGATCTGAGTTAAACAGTGGAGCTCTTTTACGAGCTTCGTATATTCCGGAGTCATTGATAAATACAAGATCAAGGGAATTATCCAGTCTGGGGGGAAAGTTAACAACATTTTCATGATCTATCACTGTGAGAAAGCTGCAGTCACATGAATTAAAATCACCTGTCACTATGGACAGGGAGTTACCAAAAGAGGCAGCAGCGAAAATAGTGAATTCATCAGCAAGCATAGATAATTCTGAAGTGCTACAACAAGGTGTGATATAAATATTCGTGATATAAATGAATTTGTATTTAGATAGGTGTTTAGGTCGACGTTTGACAGTTATACAGTCAATATTATCGTTTGAGAATTTATAATAGACGTTGTTTGCAACAGACCACTGAGAATTGATGAAAGTAGCAACACCACCACCTCGCTTCTTCCTTGAACTACTTCGGTCTTTGTTATTGAGTACTTCGGTCTTGTCTGTACATATTGAAACCATTCAGGGAGATTAAATTATCATTATATGAGTCGTGTAGCCAAGTTTCCTGAAGCGTTATTACTCTTAAGAATCCAAGTGATTAATCTTGTTCGATAATGACCTGCAATTTGTGCTCATAACCACAGGAACAGTCATTTGATGCATTGGAGTACACTTTAAGGATCTTTGCCACCCACCATGATGCTTTTTCTTAAGGTTGTTATATACTGGTAAATTATCCGGTTGAAAATATTTTAAATAATCGCGAGAGTAAGTAACACGATTTGGACACATAATTGAATAATTAAAACAAAATAAATCCAAGAAATCAGATGCAATATAAGTGACGGAAAAATTTGGTAGCCCAAGTTTTAAGCAGGCCGCTGGATTACCAACAAGACGTCCTGAAGTGGAACAAACCAACCAAGAGCCAACTGCTCAACAAATATGCAGGAGAAAATGTAGATGGATCAGGCAAACACTGAGAAGACCGTCGAATGACATCGTGCTCAATGCAGGCTATCACTCGAGTGGGACCCGAATGAGAAGCAACGAATGGGTCGTCGGCACGAGGATGACATGGAGGAGATCGTGTGATGCAGAGAAGATGAGATATTATGGGCAATCGTGGACCCAGTTGAAGAGGACATCAGAAAATAGAACGAAGTGGATATGTGTTGTTGAAGCCGTGTGTTCCACTCGGGACCCAAGAGAATAATAATAATCTTAAATCAAATTCTCTATTTTGCAATTTACACAGTTCGAGGTGATTATTTCACAACCGTTTTTATTTTGTGGAAACCCAAACTATTCAGATTACAGTTTTATCTGCTTGACACCATAAATGGTAATCAAGAAAGCAAGAATAAACGCACACCACTATACACAATACTGACTGATTCAGATGAGTAGTAGTTTATCAAGTTGCTAGTAAGATTTATGGCATTACCAGTTCATCAAAGTAGCTAGCCAGAAGTTTTGTGTTTAGAAATGATTTGGGTGTCTGAGCTGAGTCGAAGCCGAGTACACCTCCGATGAGCTCAGCCGCAAACGACAGAAACAATCGTCCGCTGGTTAGATCACTTCGATCCACCTAGCAACAGCTACTTGTTTTAGCTTTCGCGTTTTCCCATAGATAAACGAATTCAGAAAGTTGGCTGAACAGAGATATTTGGCTAGAACTCATTAACCACACACAGTATTATACTTACTATCACTTATCAACAAGGCGTATCTGTAACAACAGAAAGCAAGAGTCAGGCAACAGATCATTTATTAAGGAAATCAACGCATATTTATATATTTGCATGTACATTACTATGGTTATTTAAGCAAACAAACACACTCTTCCGATTGGTTGTTTCTCACGTAAAGTTAATCTTTCATCTCTTTGTGACTGTTTCTTGAATGTCAAATCATCTATATGTTAACTACATCCGCCTACGCAAAGTCAATCTTTGTTCACATTTTCTCACGACAAATCTTGGGAACGTTAATATTGACGTAAATTACTGTCTACCAATTTGGCTAGTAGACAGCTCTCACCACATATCTACAGCTGCTAAGTAACTGATATATTGTAAGATATTTGAACCCACCATCTCATTTCTACAGTCTCTGGTGCTATCATCGGGTCGGACATTTTGTAGGATTGTTCGAAATACACTAACCAGCCTCTATGGCGTAATTAGCCACTCTCATATGGCCTAGTTCTTAATTAAAACTCAAATTCCATCAACCAAGTTCTCAATCTAACCAACAAAATACAAGACTTATCATCACATCTGCAAACTTAATACATCGAGATATAAAGTCTCCCTGTTTTAGAATCACACACTGCACTTTTATAATAAGACTCAGTGACTAGTCAATCCAAAGTCGAAAGTTATTCGTAACAGTAATGAGGTATTTCCCAACCCCTTTCATGAACCATTGACCTCTATAATCGCGTAACTTACATGCATAATACTATAGGTTACTTGTTTGCATATACACTACATATGTGGAATCTATCATATCTGACTATGACCAAAATACAACAACGTTCACTTTTACTACATTACGAAGTAACCTAAGTTCATATTGATTATCAGCTTACAACTGGATAAATGCATATTAACTTGGCTACTTTGATATCTGACAGTCATTGGTGCATATATTGCTCAACAATTTTAAACTCAAATGATGAAGCATCAGTCTCTGGTGTTGCATGATTTTCCCAAATGAGGCTATCAACCTTGGGAGCAATAAATTCCCTCCAACACAAACTAAACAAAATGAGAAATAATAATCCAGTTAATCAAAAATACTACAAATTTATAACGTAAGAAAACCCAGAAATTCAAAGTCAGTCGGAACAAAGAATATTCTTCTGAATAATTTCTCCTCCCCAGGTTCTTACATAATAATAATAATTGTAATAAAAAGCAAAGGAAAAAAACCAAGAGGGATAAAGGGAAGAAGCACTCTTGGTGATAAGAAGAATCATCAATCCAACCACGGTAGGAACAGCGTCTGGACATGTCCCTTTTGGATACAAAGTTCCGGTTTAGTTGATCTTACTGCAACAGCTTCAGCTATGTGTAGGAGACGTAAGCGAACTGTACGTGACAACGACTTCGGAATTCGATATATAACCCTGAAAGCTGTGTTGACGTCAGTGCTATGTGCAGTGTCTACAGGATCGAGCTTTTTATGCACTTAATTTCCCCCTGCTGAACTAAGCTGGTAAATGTTCTCGAACCCGTAGACGAACCTGCCTAATCGTGCGCCCTATATAACTTGAACCACAGGAACAGTTGAAATGGTATGTGCATGAAGAAGAGCTAAGGTTAGGTATGAGATCTTTGAGTTGCTGGGTGAACATTGAACGGCTACTGAAGGATATACGCAGACGTGCAGAGTAGAAAGTTTTCTTTATCTCCCTGGTTAAACGTTGCGATGGAATCTCCACAGGAGTATCTCCCTTGAATTGGAGACGTAAAAACAGAGGCTTTTTCTCCACCGTTGCCAGTTCATGTTTACGACTATTGTAACCTATGTCGACTTTAACGAACTTCTCTGGATATCCGTTCTTGCTTAGAATATCTCGGATGACCTGTAGTTCTTTCTCTATACAGTCTTCGGAACAAATGGATGTCGCTCTAAATGCTAAGCACCTGATCAGATTACGTTTGTATTTCATCTGTACGAAGCTAAGGAAGTGTGTATACTGAGCTTCGGTCTCTAACTTTCTAAATATGGTTCTTTTGACGGAACCATCCTCTCTTCTCGTTAGTAGGACGTTGAGGAAGTCTAGAGAGTTGTTGTATTCTCCTTCGTAGGTGAAATGGCCCGCTCGATGAGCATTATTGAAGTTGCTCAAAATCAAATCACTACTTAACCCTTCATCGTATACTACAAAAGTGTCATCCATGTAACGACAATACATTTCCATTTTTGCTATTTTATCTTTCAACAGACTATTTTCTAGCTTTGCTAGAAATATGTTCGCGAAAATAGGTCCCAGTGGAGATCCCATGGCTACTCCATCAACCTGTCTGTATATTTCATTATTAAACAAGAACTGAACATTTGTTGTACATTTAACAAGTAGTCGTTTCAGATTACTGATAGGAATATCAGTGCACAATTTCCTTTCTATAATCTGTTCGCAGATATAATTGTAAGAACCTGAGGAAAAATTATCGAAAAGAATATTCTTCGTTCAGATTGACTTTTATTTCATGATATGGGAATATTTCTTTCACACTATTAAATCTTATAACTAGAAATTCGTTGTGAAAATTTAATTATTGAAAAATGATTTCAAATAAACTATTATTGGAGTAAAAAAACACAAGATATGAATAGTCACCATTGTACTTTTGAGAAGAAATGACAATCCTCTACAACAGCACAAAAAAAGATATAAGTCTTGCAACATGAGTGTATTAAATACTCGGTATTCCAGCTAGAATAAAACCTTCAATACCTGATTCATTTTTTCCTCGTAAAATTCGAAAGTATCCCATTTCACCCCAATCTTCATTCCATGAATTAGAGCATAACCAATAGGCTGTATTGTCTTCTACACCCCAACCAATTATACGTACAGCTTTATAGCCTAATAGTTCACCTTTCATATATTTGTATACTCCAGATTTATAGTGCAGAAAATCGGTGTATACAGATATTGCTGCCTCTACTGGACCATTCAACATTATCTCTTTTTGTATAGCTGATTCATTGCTGTCGACTCGATAATAATTTCTACCTGTTATGCAATAATTGACAGGAAATGAGGCATTTAACGGTGATTTAATTATACAAGTATTTTTAAAAATGTACTGAACTTTAAAAATAAACAACCAATGGAACAAAAAAACTCAACCCACTCACCATAAATAGTTTCGTCAATTAAACGATTAGTCACAGCTGCTTTACATGAGAGAAAAAACGTTGTACATACTATTTATTTACATGTGGATTCGGAGAACACTCTCGTCAACTTGTATTAGTCCCCAGCTAGATCGTGGTCAACAAGGAAGTACAAAACTGCTGTTTAGCAGATTTTGAGGTATCTGTGGAGAGATTTAGGTATACAGCTTATGATATCAAACTCGAAAAGAGCAGAATTACTCTCATGTATTTAGACCACCTTTGTCTATCTGGTGAGAATGTGAATGCTTTCAAAATACCTATGTCAAATCAGCAGTAAATATGATATCTTGACTTTGCTAGTTTAATAGACAGAAGACCAGTAGTTCAGCGAAGAGTTTCTTTTCGGTGGCGAATTCATTTTGCATAGCTGTACAATCGCAAATATATATATATAGTTGTTTTGTATGTGTGTGTATATATTAAATTTGCCAAATCGAAATACAATTAGTAAGTTCAGATGAAGTGGATGTTAATATAAGAGGGTAGTAACAAAAGTGATGAGTTGTCAAAAACGATTGTTAAAGAAGAGTCACGTAATAACATGAATAGTTTGATAAAAGAGTTGTGCTCAGTGTGTACATGGAAACAAAATAACATGCGGAATTTCGCAAGAGTTTTAAGTAGTTAGAAAAATGAGCATACAAGCTAAAGTTACGTCAAATCAACAGAGTTGTTATCATGATAGTAGAAGTGGTTGAATAATTTTCTTTTTTATGCATAGTTCTGGTTCTTCCAACTGAATGGCTAGGGCTTCTGCAATGCAAAGAAACATATTGTCTTTGGCAGATTGTTCTTCACTTTGCAGATTACTTTGAAGGAGTAGGCGTTTGTTGAGATGGAATGATGAGTGGTGATGAGATGTTCGATAATTACACTTCTTATACGGCCACTACTTCTTTTCTGCAGCCACGCTGGATAGTGTTCTTTAACCCTTTTTGACAGGATGCGCGTCGAACGACCGATGTACCTGGCTGCACAGTAACACGTGAACTGATATATACACACACATAGAAGAGGTCAGGTGCGGGATCTTATTCTTTGGGCTTCTGCAGATCAGCGGGCGACTGGAGAACACTACTCTCAATGTTGACGCAAAGAAAGTTCATCTTGAAGGAGTGGAATTTATCCTCTGATGGACATCACTGAGTAGGTCACCTCTGAAGTCGAGGTTCATATAAAACATCTTTTTGGGCACGAATGGCGTCTCTTGCTTTTGGATTTTCTGTTTGATGTTTTTGTCTATGAATCTTGGTGGATAACCGTTTTGTATGAAGATTTCTTTCAATAAGTGTAGTTCTTCTACCAGAGTATCAGAGCTGCAGATGCGTCGGACGCGAGTAGCGAGAGATCCATTTAGGTTTCTTTTTTGACTGGTTGGTACCCAGCTGTTGAAGCTTGTCAGTTGACCCTTCCAGAAGGGTTTCCTATGGATGGACCTTCTAAAAGTTCCGTCAGCTCTCCTTGTAAGTTTAACATCAAGAAAAGCGATTTTAGATTCGTTTTCAACTTCAAAAGTAAACTTTGTAGCTGACTGGCATTTGTTGAATATTTGTAGTAACTGATTAAGATTGTGACCATCGTCACAGATAATAAAGATGTCGTCCACATATCTATCATACAACTGGAAATTATCAATAGTCGATTTGAGTGGGCCGTTCTCGAGGTTTGCTATGAAGCAGTCTGTTAGCAATAATAATAATAGTAATAATAATAATAATTTTTGCTTTATTCCAAAAACAGTACTAATGATACAGCAAGGAATTTTCAGCATTCAGTACAATATTGCATCTAATTTACTCAAAACGACAAAAAATAAACATTACATAATAATAATAATAACAAAACGTTGTTATAGCAGCTATGTAGCAATTACAGTAAGCGATAAGGAGAAAAATATCCATAAAGAATAAAATTGTAGTAATAATAGTAATAACAACTAAAATAAAATAGCTAAGTTATAATTAAACAATAGAAAGGGTGACACCATAAAATTACAGAAAGATGAACGATGAAAGGGTTGATTCACTTTGCTAATTACATAGTAACTTATATGTTTCACGTCTAGCAGTGTCTCCATCACATAAAATACGGGCTAAATAGGGTATTGTAGAATTTTTGTACTTAGTGTTGCGAGCATATAACTTCTTATATTGACTTCTCATCCTTCCTGATGAGATGCAAGGGGATAGGCGTGAATGAGCTACTTCCCTTGATATCTACTGCTATGTCAAACAAGTTGAAAAAGCTGTCATGTGATATTCGATTGTGTGATTATTAGTCATCCTACCTCATGTTTTCTATGCCGAGGTTAGTGAGCAGGAATTTAAAAATGCAAGTCACCAGCTGCACCTTGAGTTCTAAAGTCGCTAATATATATATATATATATATATATATATATATATATATAAGAATTAGTTCCCTTTATGAATTTAGATAAAGAAATAAGAAGACGTAATTTGTTTAAATCATGTAATGTATTTGCGCAACACATTTCGAACAATCTGACCACACACACACGGACTGTCATAGGAATATATATATGAAATTAATAGAGGTAAGAGGTAAGAAAATAGACTTAGGTCAAGTTATAAGGACTACATTGAAGGTCAAAATAACAATACAGATTACTAAACCAAATAACAGAGGATACGCCCCAAACACGTTTTATAGATAAATTACAAAGATGTGCTAACGTCAATTTTATGTTCTGTCTCCTCTGTAACATGTTTCGCAATGGAGGAGCTAGATCTCCTGTTCTCACCATTAATGGGTTCTGAAGATTCTTTTTGTTTCTGGAGCCATTTAAGAATATGCTCTGAAGCCCTTACTTGCAGAGATCGATGAGTCCTCCCTATGTATGTGTGTCAACACGTACATTCAAATTGATAACTACAGTGGGATGTGACATCATTAATCGCGTGTTCAAAGGGCTTAGATAGATATATTGGTTTCACATTCTCAATTATTATGATATCAGCTTCATAATAAGTCTTTTTAACAGCAGCGTTCAATATTTGTCTAGTTATCAAGCTACCATGATGCACCATATATGGTAGCTTGATGTACACGTTTTTCCTAGGGGCGAGTTGTAGAGTGCGTCTTGGTGTTCGGACTACTTTATATCTCCTGATAAACTTGTTTGGATAACTGTTATCAACCAGAGTTTGTGTGAAATTTCTTTCTTCTTCATCAAGTGTGGCTTCAGTGCATATTCGTTGAATTCTACTCTTTATTAATTTCATAAATATTCCTATGACAAGTCCATGTGTGTGTGATCAGATTGTTCGAAATGTGTTGAGCCAATACATTACGTCTTCTTATTGCTTTGTCTCTCTCTCTCTCTCTCTCTCTATATATATATATATATATATATATATATATATATATAAAGTAGGCGATAAGCATTAAATATTATGACAAAGTATCATCGTGAACTCAGTAACTACAGAGCATACTAATGATAACTATAAGTAGTCATAACCTGAAAGTACTGAAAATTATTTTTCACCAGTCTGACCAAAGTAAATGACTGCTTTCATTATTAGTTAGTTGAAGGCAATCGTCAGGAAGCCTTGAACCTAGGTTTCGTGCTAGTTTGCACACATCAGTCAGCAAGGTGTATGTGAAACCTTGAAGGAACTCATGTCCCTTCTGAGATTCGACTGCTTTCATTATTTTGTTGTACTCCTTTACTTTCCAAGTGGAACATACGGTTTCAGGCTAGAGCATTGGAAGTTTCAGTAGAAGTAGTTCCTATTTTTACAGGGTGGGGTTGCTAGCCTCATGCCTAGCCTCGCCTCTTTACTGGTTTTACTGTCAGCTTAGGTAGGTTCAAGAGTGCGTCAGCAGGAGAAAGAATCCCAGACCACATGAGGCGTGGATAGCATGCATTCTACCGCTGAGTTACCGACGTCCAAAGTGAATGATAGACTGACTTAATAAGCGTGTTCACACTAAACTTACAGGGTTCTGAAGTAATTCATTTGCAAGCATTTTCAACATAAATTACTATTTTATTGCAAAATTTGCTAACTATTCCACTTGAAAATTTACGACACCCTAATTAACCCAAGTAATTTAGCTTTATTCAAGTGATTTAAAACAACTCCACTAGGTTAAACTAATTCCTGCTTAACGTTTGTGATAGGAACAAACAGTAAGAAACATTTAAATTAGATGTGAAATAATAATAATAATGGCTTTATTCCAAACAGTATTTGTGGTACAGGTATGGAATTTTCAGCGTGCATTACAATATTGCATCTAATTACCTCATAAATTTTATAAGATTTTAAAAATAAAAAGCAACAACAACAAAAGAAAAAAACATATTTAAACATGCACCACAGGATATGAAATATAAAATTAGTGTGTAATAGAATATGTGAGCAACAATATAATAGTAACAAAGAAAGGAGAACAAAAGCTAATGGGAACTATTTGTTAGAGTGCCGCAGTAAGGTGATCGTGTCATGCCTAACAGTTTTCTCATCACATAACAGCTGTGCCAGATAAGGTATTGTGGAGTTTTTGTACTTGGTAGTCCTGGCATATAGCTCCCTATAGAAAAGTCAAATCGACTAGATAAACCTGTAAAGCTTGAGATATAATATCTGTGAAGAATGAAGGCTAATTTGAAGTCAGCCACACTCTAACCACTTGTAATCAATAATTTTAGTTTAAAAGATTCTATCATTTTATGGTAAGCTTACAAGGCTAATTACTCTGCATTTTCAAGTATTGGTATTGTAGGGATTTTTGTTTGATTGGATGGAGGATTTCATCATGAGTTGACATCAGTTAGAGAACCATTGGAAAACCTCGGAGTACTGGACGGCTGTTTCGTCCTAGTTCGGGACTCTTCATCAGTACGCACTCTGCATTATCTAACACTTTCTACTAACACACACATACACATTTGTATTTCCAAGACTTTCTGAAGAGACAAATTCCTTTACAGTGTATTTAATCCTAACTCTATATTAGACATGTTTATTTAATAAAGCCCACAAAAGGTGCAGTATTATTTACTGAACTATGGGTTTGGTCACAATTTATTGTCCACAATCATATCAGAACGCGGTCGTCGGTGGTAGAAGTTAATAATCACAAGACAGAGAGGCAGAAAGACCTAGTGGTCATAGGATCTATAGGCAAGTATGCTATCCTTATTCAGCAACAGGATCTCTTTTGCGAACTACAGAAATATTTCAGAAATTGAATAAAACTCCTGTCTAGTTTCCCGAAGTTTCCAATCGTTATCTGTCAAGTACAAATACATAACAAAATGTATCTTGATAATTCACATTTCTGCGAAGTGTCTCTTTTCAGCGAATTCATTCACTTAGCTGTACAATCGCAATCATATATAATTATTTGTCTGTGTGTGCGTACATCCAATGGTATTATTTACAGACAGCAAGATGGTGTGGCTATGGGTTCACCTTCAGGCTAATCATTTGCAGATATTTCCATGGTCAGTTTGGAAAATTGTCCATTGAAACCAACCATCAACAACTTTTCTCTTTACAAAAGGTACGTTGATGACACTTTTATCATTTGTGATCACAAATGTGACCTAAACAAATGTCCTTCAGGTTTTTAATAACTGCCATTCAACCATCAAATTTACATTTGAAGTGGAAACTGGATAGTCAGTCTCATTTCTGAACGTCCGACTGACAAAGAAGACCTATGGGACTTTGAACAGATCAATAAATCGAAAGCCTACGTGGAATGGCCAGTTGACAAAGTTTTACAGTTGGGTACGCATCAATCGCAAGCGGAACATAATAATATCTTTTGAGACTAAAATCCTTACAGTCTGCAGCCATGAATCAGTCGATGAAGAGATTACTCTACTGAGGAAGACATTACTTGAGAATGGCTATCCACCGCGCTTTATAGATAAACACATAAAGCTGGAAATCAACAAAGAACAACCCATCTTTGTGCAGAAGAAGATGCTATACATGAATGTGGCGTTCAAAGTCAAAGAAAATTATCCCGCTTGGCTACGAAAAGATAAAAGCTGACCAATAAAGAGTGCTACAATTGAACATATATATTCAACACTGGTCACTCAGTATGTAGGGAGAGTTCATTCAAAGTCATCTAAAAAGTCAAAAGAAGCCTCCGGAAAACGGTAAGCCTACATATAATTTGCATTGCCAAGGCGATTCGTATGGCAAACCCTGATTTATGTACACAGAAGAAGCTTATTCATCCCCTCCTACTACCTTGGGTACAACTTCAAGTTCAACTACATTCTTATTAATACCATTTTGTGCATTTTTGTATGACATTGTAGAAACTAATTTTTTCTTGACTTATTCTTCTTATCGACCACATAATTTATTTTGGACACTTGTCTCCAAGGTATTTTTTCTGGATGCTGTTCATATTATATAGCCCTAGTCAAGGCTAACTAAACTTCACCCCTCCCCTGGTTACAATCTGATTATTTCACACGTTTGGTTCTCTTGATAAATTCCGATAGAGAATGAAAGACCAGATTTGCAGGATAAAATGTGATATCATCATTCTACTTCACAGGTTCTCATCAGCTGCTGCAAACAACTACCTGAAATTACAATGGTCATAAATAATGACAAACACATACTTCAATGTGTGAAAGGTAATAGAGAAAACATTACAAGATGAGCGCATCGGGAATATAAGCATTACAATTTTTAGTTCAAGTCACCATTAACTTATATGCTATCAAAATATGAAAAAGAAAGGGGGTGTGAGGGAAGACAGAAAACAGAAAAATCTGATAAACAGTGTTAGCTTTTACGTCAACATAGCAACTGAAGAAGGTTAAAGTTCATCAAATTGAAAACTTTCTCAGTGAGCTGAGTTCACTAAAGTGTATGACTAATCAGTGTAATCAAAGTAAATACGGTTACCAAGAGAGTGAGAGATTGACTGCACTCTCTTTCTGTGTGCATAAGTTTGATCTGAAACGTTTGATTGCAATTGCTTCAAGAGTAAATCCTAGTAAATTCGTTGTTCTTTGTATGTTTAAATATTTTGCAAATCTGGTCTTTCTTTCTTTCTTTCTTTATCGAAATTTGGTTATCCATCACATTCTTTGAAAGACTTCGATAACGTAAACAATAACCCTAACTAATTTGTGTACTCCTGTCTGACAAACCTAATGTACGCACACACACACACACAGATTAATTATATATAATTGCAATTGTACAGGTAAGTGAATGAATTCACCGCCGAAAAGAGACTCATCTCCCTGAACACAGTCTGTCAAGAATGAAAATGAAATACTAAAGGTTCTAGAATATTCAATAGTTTATTATCTTTATTCTAATCCATAATTACCGCACGTTCCAAACAGCAGAGGCTATTGCAATTCGCCTCAAACAACCAGTGCTCTGTGTGCAAAAGAAACAAGTGCAGCTCCTACTACTGCCATGGCTGGCCTTCAGTAGAAACTAGAAATTCATGAATTTGTAATATTATCTTTCCTAATTTTTCTGACATTCAGTACATTTTTATGTTGATGCTATTGAACTGTAATCTGATTTTATTAGATAGTTGGAGGCAATCAGCAGGAAGCCTTGGACCTCGGTTTTGTACTAGTTAGCACTCACCAGTCAGCAAGGCGTATCTGCAACCTTCAAGGAACAACTCATGTCCCTTCTGAGATTCGAACCCACGTCACCCAGTGCTGCAGTCAGAGACTGAACTGTAATATACTGATATTATTATTGATTCGATGTTATTTAAACAACATTAATGTTGTTCATAACACTAATTCATTCATTCACTATAATGTATATATAACTGTAGAACCTGATGAAGAGCAGGTTATCGAAAAGAGTATTCTTTGTTCAGTATCCATTCTTTTGTAAATCTAAAATTCATTTAATTTAATTCTTACCGTAATTTTTATCATCTTCATATTCTATCTTATATGTTGATTGGCATTCTTCAGCACATTCAGGAACTTTATAGAGTGTTTCCCCACAAGATGGATACTTTCCATCTCGAGCGTAATGTTGACATTTTGGATATGGATATGGTTTACATCCACCAGAAGAGTTATTCAATGCACCTGTAACAACTCCTGACCTCATCCAATAATCCCATGGAGTATTATAATACCCTCCAATGCATCCTCTTCCACAATATGAACAACAAGATAATATATCCAGTGCACTGATTTGTAGAGAATTTCCATTGGTTGCAATGCATATACGATCAGTAATCACTTGAGCTGCAACTAATGCCTAAAAATATTATTTTCAATTAGATCTCATTAGGCTTAACTGTAATATGCATAACTTTACAAATAAATATTACAATGAATGAATGAATGAATGTGCTTTTTCTATACGCAGGAGCAAGAAAGATAATGTACGGATGATCATTTAACAAAGGAAATTTGAATATATTCACGATTCCTTGATGGAGATGGGTTATCCGAGTAGCTTCAAAAAGAAACATATGAAAACATAGGAGAAAAAACTGGAGACTATGACTGCACGTAAAATACCTCTGTTTATTAAGTTACAATTCAATGGTGACTTATCAAGTGAGATTTTATTCCAGTGACTTTCCAGGAGTGTACGAAGAATGTTTCACACAGCATACCTATGTATGTCATTCTCCAGCCGACGAATGATTGGGACGCAAACGAAGGATAGATAGCTGGATAGTTTTGCCCCATCTATGTGCATTTATCAATTCAACTGCACCTGCGGTGACAGTTATATTGGGCGTACTACTAGACAGCTTAGCCAGCCAACGTGTTAGTGAACATCTCCCATCGTGGTTTGGCAAAAGATAGACAAAACAATCCATAGCTCCATTTCGTCACATTTAATTGATAGTGGTCATGTAGTGGAGAAAACGAAAGTACTCAGTGTAATTCATCCTATCCCACTGAATCTTTCCAACAGACTTCGCACACAGCTGAGGCGATAGGCATTGAAACTATTAAACCTAAACTGCACTCATTCAAAAGAAGTTTGTACAGCCATTATCCCTCCCTTATTGGCCTATTAAGACATAACCAAATGATGACTTCTACACTTCAGCTTGCTTATGTTTTCAACCCCTCTCTTATCATTATCCTTTAATATTATCCCATCTTCATTAAAAACGTTTCATTCCCTTACTTCCATCACTTAATCGGTTCATTTGCTTTTCATAGCCTTTATGGACCATTACTTCTAACTGAACATTTGTTTGTTTAATCATGTTGTGTTTTCATTATTCTTGTTATCACGGATTGCCTCACAATTTCATCCTTGTTATCCATAGAATCATTGTTATTATTACGATGCCCAATTTACATGTACAATCTTATTATCCTATTGACTGACAAAACACCGTGATTGGTTTATATTTGAATTTTTATTTGTACAGTTATCTGTATTAGAGTTAAGCCAGAAGAGATTTAATGGATGAATAAATATTGTTCGCTTAAATGTGTTGTTCTAAGTTTTACTATAGGAATACTTAATATTTTAAAAACATTACTTTTAAGTAATTGATAAGTTTAATCACAAATAGATTAAATGCAAGTATTAATGCATACCCACTTTTGTTATTGTATTCATTGCGTAGGAACTTATCATAGGAACCGGAAACCAATTTCACAGTAGTTAAAAGTGAATTAGAACTGATAACTCACTGTGTTTGAACGTCTGGTGTTTACGACTAAGCTAAAGATCTCTGTGAAAGCCTGAAAATATTTTCAGGCATCTGAACTTAAATTTATTGACAAGTGAAATTACACTTTACACCTGTTATTCTGGGGCTGGCAATAGGATCCAAGAGGTATATTTCATCAGCAGATATACCTGCATCCCAGTGAGTGGTAATATTCCCACTGGCACCCTAACCAATAATCGATTATTTCAAACTCAAAATTATTATTTGTTGAGCTACAAAACCCCTACAGTCATCTCTTGTCCACATGGCATAAATTGTTTTTTATAGAATCTTCTAAATTCTCCATTTGACGATTTGACCGGAAAGAAAGGGTCAGTTTCTGTTGACATATCTGTTGCTGGTAAAGACACTTCAGCAATGATGCCATGCGGGTTAACTTCATTTTACTTAGAATACACTTGATATATGATATACATGAATATTTCTGATTCATTCAATATGGAACAGTGTTACGATGATTTCATACAGCCGGTCTCCCTCATTATTAGTTGGAATAAAGAAAGAACGAACATATTTTCAGCAAAATATCAGTTACTAGTGATTGGTAGCAGCACATACAGGCACAAGAATATCCACAAGGCTAAATGGGTGTCACCAAACGGCCGACCCAAAAACCAAATTTACTTCATCTCAATGCTCTCGAGGAAGTGGAGATGCAGCTTACTGGACACAAAAGTAAGAAGAGGAGCAGACGTTGGCTCAGACCACTATCTCGTACAAGTAACACTCCAAATCAAATTAAAAGCTTTCAGAGAAACAGGAGCTGCAGATAGACAAAAAGCCAAGTTCAATACTCAAAAACTGAAGGATCAGGATACAAAGGATATCTTCACTGTAATCACAAGGAAAAAGGCGGAGATACAAATCAACACTGGCGAAGAGACCAGAGTTGAAAAACACTGGAACAGCCTGAAAGACCAAACCTGCATGGAAGTTCTAGGCAGAAAGAAGAGACAGGACAAACAGTAGCACACTACAGACACTTCGCTCAATACTCACGATCAGATGGCCGGCCAGAAAAGATCAGCAACGTGGAGGGATCTCTGGGAGCGAACCAACTCAGCAGGAACCAGTTGTGCAACAAATATGCAGGAAGAAGTGGAGGCGGATGCAGAAAACCATCAAGTAACTTCACACGACAGGCCCTCGAGCGTAACCCGAATGGGAAGCGGCCAGTTGGTCGTCAGTGCGATGGTGACATGGAGGAGATCATGTGAAGAGGAGATGAAAGTATATGGGCAAACGGGGAGCCAAGTGAAAACGTTGGCAGAGAACCGAACGCGATGGAGACGTCCAGCTGAAGCCCTATGTTCCTCTAGGAACTAAAGGAAACAATAATGATGAATAATATACTAAATTTCTGAACCTAGTTTTACAATGAATTCGAGTTATATATTGAAAATATAGGCAATATAATTGTAAGTAGAAAATTATTTAGTTTTAAAGAAGTATTAATTTACATAACAGTCAGATTTTGCTGGGAAACAAGGATGGACTAGAGACAAAATACAAGATAGAACGACACAGTGAATTTATATATATATTTATATAAACACACTACATAAAAATAGCCTCACTAATCTCTCACTGACCTACGGTAAAAGTAATTGTTTCGCTCGTGAGCTTTCGTGTTTTGTTCTCTTGCTTAACATTCCACTCAGTTTTGACTTCGATTTCCACTTACTGAGTTAAACCCACTAAATAATCTTGTCTATCTTATAATTTTACTTCACTATTAACCCCCATCCTCCTGAACTCTCCATCATAATTCCATAAGTGTGCTCGAAACGTCATCAGTAAACATTACTGTATAACACTGTGAGACTTTATCAAAACAAAATTTACTCATAATGGAATTTCACTCTACCACAGTGCACAAGTTTTATTCTTATATCTCCATCATAATGTCTATAAATTCACTGTGTTGATCTATCTTGTATTTAGTCTCTAGTCCATCCTTGTTCCTAAGCAAATTTAAAGTCTAATTACTACATAAATAATGACTCCTTTAACACTAAATAATCGTCTACTTACAATTATATTAACTATACTTTTATCTATAACTTGAATTCATTGTAAAAAGTATATTCAGACGTCATTTTGTAACATAAAATTGATTTGTTGCAGGATTTCATCATGAGTTGACATCAGTTAGAGAACCGTTGGAAAACCAACACTGAAACACTGGAGAACTGTTGCGCCAGCCTAGTTTGGGACTCTTCAGCAGTACCCGCCACTGGGATACAATCCAATGACCAGCCCATGGATTCTCACTTCTGACAATTCATGACATAGCGAGACCACTTCTCAATGTTTTCTTCAATGAGTTACTGCCTCACATTCAACTCGCTGCACCCCACTGGTCACGGCTTCCCAACAGAACCCCAGGTAACTTCCTGCCTGAATAGGACCAGTCGCTAGTGAGCATCAGATCAATTTTCAAGTATTGGTTTTGTAGAGATTCTGCTTGATTGATTGGTTGGAGGATTTCATCTTAATGGTCTACGAACTCGCCTTGTAACCAGAATGTCCTGGGTTCAAACTCTGACGGTGGGTGCGTACTGATGAAGAGTCCCAAACTAGGCTGGCGCAACAGTTCTCCGGTGTTTCAGTGTTGGTTTTCCAATGTTTCTCTAACTGATGTCAGCTCATGATGAAATCCTCCAACCAATCAAACTTAATCCCTACAAAACCAATGCTTGAAAATATTATTTATTTATTTAGGATGTCCGCAGTTAAAGAGAATCTACGAAATAGAACAAGCTCGTATTATCCTACAAATATGTTCGTTCTTTCTTTATTCAAGGTAATATTATAATTTGATTGTTTACTATTTAGGGCAAAATTAAATGATTTGCATAACTTGTTTCCCAGTATTCAAATTTCTTATGAAACATTTCGGTGAAAGTTTCTTTTAAATTCCTTTGAGTTCCGAGTGGAACATAGGGTTTCAAGCATGAAGTTTGAAGTTTCAGTAGCAGTAGTATTTTTACGGGGAGAAGTTGCTATCCTCACCCCGCACAGGATCGGGTAACTGTGCATCAGTGTGTATCTTTGACTTCGACTGCTCATATGGAACTAGTTACACTGGCCGTGCTTAGAGGGCTTTATCCATGAAAGCAAATGAACAAATACCTGTATGGTTGAGTAAAGAGGTGACTAACTGCGTAAACAGTTCAGTCTTAGCCCACATGATAAATACTGGACACTAACTAAGCTTTTTCAGTTACTTACCGCGTTCCTAGTAATCTATATAGAGGAGCTCGATTACGTCTTCTATCAGTAGCTGAAGAGGTAGCAACCAATACCAGAAGACTTGCTGTTTATATACAGGAGAAAGTGTGTTCAACAGCTGTTCACCTTGACCTACAATAAGGTCAACAAATCCGCCATAAACATTAGCACTTTTGTGGTGATATGATACAGACTGTGTTCCAAAGGAATATTATTCTCACATATTCCCGCAGTTCAATATTGCATTAGCAACAGAATCTGATATATCTATTTGAAAATTATTTTTGATGTTAGAGATAGAATACATTTTCCGCGGTTATATACTGCATTACCAAAGAATACTATGTATATTTGAACATTCTATTTCATGTCGTTTGATGTGAACCGATACATATATATATATATATATATATTCCTTCAAGTTCCCAGTGGAACATAGGGCTTCAAGCTAGAAGCTTGAAGTTTCTGTAGCAGTGTTTATTTTCACGGGATGGGGTTGCTAGCCTCATGCCCAACCTTTCCTCTTTACCAGCTTTATTTCTGGCTTAGCGAGGTGAAGGAGTGCGTCGGCCGGGGATCGAAACCCGGACCATGTGCATGGTTACCAAGCGTCGTAACCGCTGTGCTACCTACGCATATATATATGGACATTCTAAATCATAATAAAAAACTAACTGACTATTGTTGCATCCCATCTTGTATTTCTTCCAAAATACACACTTCTGATATGATTCTGATTTGCCTTTACTGGCTATTGTAGGCTTAAATTAATCAATGGATTCATAAAAAATGTGGAGTCAGAAGAAGAATTTATTGAAAACACTTGTTCACTCTAACTATTTTTGTTCTAAATCAATTATGGGAACATTCAAATTACTGATATCTGTTAACACATTAGAAGTAGGCGTAGATAACTACGAAATTTCTTAAGAAATAATGGATATCAGGTCACTGCAGCTAGTTAAGTAGACAGTCTAGATTAGGTATTATTTACTTGATGGTAGCCAGTCATCAAGTTTACTCAGGTACTTTTATTCCAATTTACAACTCATAAAGTAAAAGATCCAGTTGAATCTCAATATGACTGCGACAGAACTTAGTTATAAACCCAGAAGACACAGTGTTCTTTACTACACCAAGGAAAGCATATCTTCTGCAAGGACTGTTAATCACTGTTTTTACCACTGCTTTAGTAAGAGTAATTGTTCTTGCCAGCATACATTAGCTTCGTGAATGCTGGTCTTGATGAATCAGTAGAGTAGTGAATATTTCTCTTGTTCTTAGGGTTCTCAGTTGACACCTTACCTAGAATACTGTAACACAATTGACAAACTCAATTCTCAAGTATTAATTTTTGTAGGGATTAAGTTTGATTGGTTGGAGGATTTCATCATGAGCTGATATCAGTTAGAGAAACATTGGAAAACAAACACTGAAACACCGGAGAACTGTTGCGCCAGCCTAGTTTGGGACTCTTCATCAGTACGCACCCACCGTCTGAGTTTGAACCCAGGACATTCTGGTTACAAGGCGAGTTCGTAGACCATTGAGATGAAATCCTCCAACCAATCAATCAAGCAGAATCTCTACGAAACCAATACTTGAAAATTGATCTGATGCTCACTAGCGACTGGCCCTATTCAGGCAGGAAGTTACCTGGGGTTCTGTTGGGAAGCCATGACCAGTGGGGTGCAGCGAGTCGAGTGTGAGGCAGTAACTCATTGAAGAAGACATTGAGAAGTGGTCTCGCTATGTCATGAATTGTCAGAAGTGAGAATCCATGGGCTGGCCATTGGATTGTATCCTAGTGGCGCGTACTGCTGAAGAGTCCCAAACTAGGCTGGCGCAACAGTTCTCCGGCGTTTCAGTTTTGGTTTTCCAACGGTTCTCTAACTGATGTCAGCTCATGATGAAATCCTTCAACCAATCAAACTCAATTCCGCACAGTAAAACAAAACAAAATATTATGCACAATTACAAGTGTGAGTTAAAACAATTACGGAAGAAAGAAGAAATCATCCTTAGTGTATCACTTACATAACTTGACATACACCTAGACTCATCAGTAATTATTTGCATAGTTTTACAATGCTGCCATTGTTTACGTGAATCAAATGACTCCGGTATATTTGTCTTAATAGTATCATGTGAGACGATAGGTGCATTTCGAAAGTATCCATTTGGATCGTCAAAATAAAGATTGAATGAATTCAGTAATTTGTGTGTTGGTAATTTGAAACGATCATATTTTACTGCTTTCCATCCTGATAATGACTAAAAAAAACAAAAATTTTAGATACAATAATGTTTCAGTATGAAAGAGATGAGAATTCATAAAATTTCCGATGTCTCGGTCACATCGACCCACACCATTCAACAGGATTTTTGTCGCGTTCAACAAATATCTCAATAAATTATAATTATATTTCACATAATGATAAATTTTTGTTTTGTTTTGGTAATATTTCGACCGAAATTACTGTCCGTGATCACACCAACTATTGGAATTGTTTTGTTTTTTAATTCACACTGTTGTGATTTGTACTCACATCTATAGGTCATTTTTCGGTCATTCACTTTTGTGCATCCAGATTATATTCCAGGTTGTTGACAGTTGTGCTGAGTCACCCTTATTACATGTATGCAGTGTGACCTTAATGAATATAGATTCTGTGATCAGTCTCTCTATCCATTTCTTCATATTAGATTTCAGAATACATTGTTCCAGTCAATCAATATTGTGGTTTGTGCAGCTGTAGACGAATTTTGTTTTCTAAATTGTTGTAAGCTTGTGTTCCTGTGGCACGACCTTTATTTAGTTGGGCATTCATGTTCATTCACTCTTGTTTTGAGTGATCTGGACAAATGACCCACATATTTAGTCGGACACTCAGCACAAGATATTTTGTAAATTACATTACTACTTTTATCCATCATTTTTATTGGATCTTTTAGTTGATTTATTTTTTTCCTAATTAGACTTGTTGGTTTAAACGTGGAGAGAATCCCAATATTTTTCAGGTTTCTTCGAATTCCGCCTCTGATGTACAATTTTTGTATGGTATTGTGACTGATTTTTTCCTTCCTCCTTCTTTTCATTCTCTGGTTTTACCCTCTTTTTCTCTTATTTATATTATCTCTGATAAATTCTTTTGCAGTTGCTGTCAAGAAACATTTTGAATAGGACGTTTATTTCTTTTCGCTGGTGAGCTGGTGTAGTTGTAAGTCTACTTATTCTATCTGCAAGACCTTGTATTAATCGTCGTTTTACCGTGAGTGGATGAGCTGCATGATAATCAAAGAATCTTCTAGAATGCGTAGTTCTTCTACACAGCGTTGTTTTTATGCTACCATCTGTTACTCTTTGTATTTTGCAGTCTAACAAAGGCAATTCCCCAATTTCATTCTCTATTTCCATAGTGAATTTGATTGAGTCAACGTGACTGTTTATGTGCGAGAAGAATTTCTCAACATCGCTTTTTTTCAATTATTACTAACGCGTTGTCTACATTTCTCATAAATTTGCTTTAATCAATGATCACACAGTCGATTTGTGTGCTTATCATCCACTCCTTCGAGTAGATTTATGTTACCATAATAACTTAGCGGTAATTACTCTGAATCAGACAGTGAATGATTTCTTGTAAATTATTTAAAATAAGTCCAGTTTGATTAAGAAAAAACAAAACAAGATTTTTCTGAACTTCTCACTGTGGAAGGCACAGCTTCTAAAGAAGAATTATTCAGATTTTATCTAACATCAAAATGTATGCAGTCAACAAGTTACGTAGATTGAGGTGAATTCCTCTGAAGGTCACTTGTCGGTAGGTATTTGTTTTTTTCATTCCTTTACGTTCCCAGTGGAACATAGGGCTTGAAGCTCTGGTAACCATGGTGATTATTTTTATAGGATGGGGTTGCAAGTCTCATGCCCATTCTCCCCTCTTTACCAGTCTTATCACTGGCTTACCGAGGTTAAGGAGTGCGTCTGTGGCTGGAGATCGAACCCCGGACCACGTGATGTGTGGTTGGCCAGCACTCTACCGCTGTGCCACAGACACACGTAGATATTTGTACCAACAGAAAAAATGTAAAGAGTCATTACAGATTTTTATTAACTAAAGTCAAACTGATATCATGAAATATGAACTTGAAAAAATCAAGAAATATTAGCTTAGTATTGATTAACAATAGAAGACATTATAAAATGCTTAATAGTTTACTTATTATTATTATTATTTATTTCGTGTGACATTTTACATTAGGAAGTTAAAGCGCTTGAAAATAACTCAACCAACCCTTCATCTCACAGTTTGTCAACTCGTGCATCTTACCTATTCTTCTTTACTGTTCACCCTTATTCTTTCCTAGACTGCTTAAGAAAGACTATGTCATACTTCGTAGAACGCTGAAGAATATCAATCGAGCAAGTGGTATCCTACCCCATTGGGCCATATCCTTGTCATCGTCAGTATTGATAAACAATTGATTTCATGCAACAAATTTGCTAAAGGGAATTCATCAAACTGTGAGCGCCCACCACAGCACCCTCAGCTTTCACCTTGCATCTCCTCAGGTAGAACAACAAGTAATTTCGAAAGACTTTCCGCATGTGCACATCTATGTATAAAAATTCCACTATACCATATTTACATAAAGCAAGAACAACAGTGGTTTGTGCAGAATAATATGGTACCATCATTTGTTTCACTGGCTTCTCATCATCTGCTTACAGCTTGCAAATTTTTCATGGTGTCAGTTGACAGAAGGTTTCGCAATTAGTGAACACTGCTCATGAAATTACGCTTATTTAGTTTTCACATAGACAGTTCAGGTTTAGACAAAATAAATGTATGCATGCAATGGTAAAGGAGTTACGTAACAAAGACGAGAGATGCGTAAAATACAGTGGCTAATAAATTAGGTAACAATGTACTGAGTTCCACTCAAATCATAGAAACAAGAGACAGGCAAGATTACAAGTTATAAGAAGGGGGTGAGGCTAAAGCCGAAGATTACGTAATCAAATGAGAGAATAAAGACATCCAGTTACCAGGGCAAGGAAAGACCATATTTGGCGGCACTTATTTTATGTGATGAAAATAGCGTTAGGGACGAACTGACTAATTAACTAACTAACCTTCTTTCCACTAGTCAACAAAATATTTTCTCCACCTTTATACCAACACGTTTTACTGTTATTCTTCTTCTCATATCTATAATCCTCTCATTTTATTTTTCGTTATTTTTCTGAAATTGTAAACATCAATTAGTCTCTGTAATAATTGTTATTTTTTGTTTTTCCCTTCACCATTCTATGTCAAGAGAACATGAGATTCACTACTCTATAACATGCTGAAATTTCCAAACTGCATCGACAAAAGCGTTTGAAAGAAACCCACCGTTATTATTACTATTATTATTACCAGTAGGGTACAGCAGGTTGAAGATGAGGTAGTAACTCATTGAAGAAGACATTGCGAAATGGTCGCGCTATGTCGTGAATTGGCAGGAGTTAGAATTCATGGGCCATTAGATCGGGTCCCAGTGGCTCAGTGGTCTACGAGCTCGCCTTGTAACCAGAAGGTCCTGGGTTCGAATCCCGGTGGGCGCGTACTGCTGAAGAGTCCCAAACGAGGAGGAAACAGCTGTCCAGTACTTCCAGGTTTTCCAGTGGTTCTCTAACTGATGTCAGCTCATGATGAAATCCTCCATGCAATTAAACAAAAATCCCTACCAAACCAATACTTGAAAATATTATTATTATTGTCATTAAAAGTTATGTAATATTGAACTAGGAGTTAAAATCTTTTGTTCGCGTATAGGTATAAAAGGAGTAAGGTAATTAAGTTATTATTAAAATTATTATTATTATCACTATTAAAAGCTTACATTTTCATTGATATACTCAATTAATTTATCAGAGTGGAGTTCATCATTAATGTCACTACTGACAAAATAATTAGTAGTAACATGAATAGTTGACAAAATAAGGCATATTGTTAAAAACATAGTTCTAAAGTCTATCTTCTTTTTAATAATTATATATATATATATATCTTTTGGAAAAACAAATTAAACATTGAATATGTTCAATATTTAAAACTTTTAAAAAAGTAGATAATAATAGTGTTTATTTACACAACACTTTATCACTTATTATTTGAGTGAAACAAAGTGCATGTTTTACAAAACATTAAACATTTTTAATTCATAAGTTATATTCTGTAATGAAATAATTGTTTAAAGTTAATCTGTTTGTGAAATGTACAAAGCTCAAAATTGTACATTCACAAATTCTGAATAACACTTCATTGCTTATTGTTAACTGACGATACAGAAACCGCTAATGGCATAGCTGTAAATTGCTCGCCAACCACGCCTCATGTGGTTCGGGGTTCGATCCCCGGCCGCAGACTCACTCCTTTATCTCTCTGAGCCGGTAATAAGACTGGCGAAGAGGAAAGGTTTGATATGAGGCCGGCAACCCTATCCCATATAAAATAAACACCACTGCTACCAAAACTTCAAAGCTGTCGCTTGAAGGCCTATGTTCCACTCGGAACATAAAGGAATAAATAAAAACGATAAACAAGAAATGAGAAGGCATAACTGGTAGGACAGCTTCAAGAACTTAGATTTCATGGATTATTAGATCCTAACACGATAGTGGACAGTAAAAGTGATCAACCTATAACTTAAGAGTTCTGAGTTACATGCCTAGTGGGGTTATATGTGTGTTCTGTTACAAAATGTCAAAATAAAAGAAAACAAATCTTCATTTTTCAATATTTATCTAATTAAGATAAGTTTGTGACAAAGTATGTTTATCCCAATAAACATATCTTTTGAAAAATGGAATAAATGTTTAAAATTCATCTAGATTTTAAAAAAAACAGTTTTATTTTTATTATTCCCTTGGGTTTCGAGTGGAACACACGGCTCCAGCAACATATCTCCATTTCGTTCTGTTTTCTTCTGTCCTCTTCAGATTGGTAAAGGATTGTGCATAATCTCTTACCTCCTCCCCATTATACGATCCCCTCCATGTCACCTTCGAACCAACGCCCCGATCGTCGTTTCCCATTGGTGTTCCACTTGAACAGTGGCCTGGTGCGCGATATCATACGATGGACTCCTCAAAGTGTGCCTGCTCCATCTCCTTCTCCATATTTGTTGAGCAATCGGTTCTTGGTTGGTTTATTGACAGATAATTGCCCGAAAATAAGTGACAATTCAACAAAGGAAATCTTATCTATCGAAGGAATCATCTTCAGAGACTGTACTGTACAATCGTATTTACATTTACCAAAAAATGTATGCTAGCCTATTATTCAGTAATAAGGGGGTTGAAATAATTGATATAATTACTCAGAAGTGGCTTTAGAAGTAAAAATAATAGCTGTAAATTACGTAGTACTCAGTGGCACAAAGGAAGAAAGCGTTAGAAACTTGATCAAGTTAAAAAATTCAGTAAATTATAATTGTTTCAACAGTTTGTATATGGTGATAAGTTTTTGTTTTTTGGTCATATTTCGAGCAAAATTACTGCCTCTGACCACACCAACTGTTGGAATTGTTTGGTTTTTGATTCACACTGTTGTGATCCTTACTCATATACATATATATATATATTATTACTCCCTTTAATTCCTAGAGGAACATAGGGCTTCAGCCGTGCGTCTCCATTGCTTTCGGTTCTCTGCTAGAGTCTTCACCTGGCTCCAAGTCTGCCCACATGTTTTCATCTCCTCTTCACATGACCTACTCTAAGTCACCCTTGCACTGATGACCAACTCGCCACTTCCCTTTCGGGTTCCACTCCAGCAATGGCTTGTCTAGTGGTGTCACTTGATGGTTTCCTCAGAGTGTGGCCAGCCAATCCATCTCCATTTCCTCCTGAGTATTTGTTTCACAATCGGTTCCTGGTTGGTTCGCTCATTGCCAGAGATCTCTGTTGCTGATCTTTTCTAGCCGGCCATTTGATCTTGAGTATTGAGCGAAGACAACTGTTAATGAAGGTCTGTAGTTTGGTTGAGATGCTCTTTATGACGCGCAGTGCAAGTCTCTGATCCGTATAGTAGCACTGACTTCACATTCCAGTTGAAAACCCGGGCCTTATTTTTCATATATATATGTATATACTATATCAACAGAACATTAGATACAATACTCTATAACATGCTAAAATTGTCAAACTGAATCGGCAATACTGTTTAAAACAAACTCACTGTTGTTATTATTATTATATTTAATATTATCAATTCGTGCTTCGAATATTTTTCACTTTATATCGTAAACGTGGACAAATTCCTCTGGTTAATTTTTAATTTTATTTATATTTTAAGTAAATCAGATGCAATATTGTGACAAATGCTGAGAATTCCATTCTGTATTATAAGTACTGTTTTTGGAATAAAGTAGCTTATTATTATTAATTAAAATAAACTCAACCAATATGGAAAAATTTGTATTTTCAAATTTTATATATGCTGATGTGTGCGCAGGATAACCTTGCTGAAAAACTCTGAAATTCAATATGGAGAAGTTAACTCATCTCTGATCTAGTGCGTATTTCATGCTAAGTAACTTTCTCCTATTCTTGTTTTGTTCTCTGAATCGGGTGGTTTAATCACGAAACTTTCATTGTTCCCGCAGACAACAACTTCAGCACTAACTTCACAACTGAATTACCTACCTCAGAGAACATCATAAAACTAAAAGCATATATCAATAAGCTACAAGTCTTTTCCATCATTTAAAAGTTGTCCTCGAAGTCATAGAGCAGTCCACCTTCTGATGTTTTCATAGCTCAATGAAGCACACGGTATTCAGTTGAACTATTTCAATTTAAATCAATGTCATTAGAGTAGTGACATCCTTCCTATTCTACTCCGTAATTCCAAAAACTAAATTGTAACACTATTAAGTTGATACCAAGGTTAAATATTCTTTGCTTTGCTGCTTACACAATATGCACAATTTTCACTGTAGTTTATGGCATCATATTTACACTTTATCAAGGAGTTTAAAGTAAAACAACCATCTCCAGTAGATCATGTGACACAGTGATGTTACATCTGAGGAATAAAATAATCCACAATGGTGTTTTTCTTTGGTCTCACAGAAATCCTCAACGATAGGGGTACAAAACAATTAAAAATGTCCATGAGTACATTTAGAGACCAGCGGATATAGCTGAATGATTATAACAACACAAACTAAAGAAAATAAGATGCAGCATTGTCTCGGATAGAAATTCAGGTAGTCCAGAGATTCAAGCAAGCCGCCAAGATTTAGATAGAGCAAAGTCACAGTTTCAAGAATTTTGAACAGTTTATTCGACTTCCGAAGTGTTTGCAGTGGCGAATGCACAAGTCTGTTTGTATGATTGACGACTTATTCAGATGAACAAAGCATATATGATGAGAGACATTTTAAGCTACAAATATGTCATTTTCAGACATACTGCATTCAGAGGAATGCATTAAGGAAGAAATGCATAAACTGAAACTCACACAGCAAGAAAATGGATATCCACAGAGCTTCCTAAAAAAGTATATGTCAATACCTACAGACAAAGTAAAGGTGGATACCGTTGACAAGAAACCTTTGTATCTTAAGTTAAGTTACAAAGGGGTAATTGCAGCTGACATTCTGAAATGTCGACTTAATAGAGCAGTAGATAGAACATTTCCTGCTGCTAAACTGGTACTCAACTTCTCAACTAAACCAGTACTCACACAGCAAGTAAAGGATAAATTACCAAAGATGGCCTCATCAATGTGTATCTATGAATTCAACTGCTCATGTGGAGCTAGTTACATTGGCCGTACTCAGAGGGCTTTATCCATGCGCGCGCGTGAACATGTACCTGTATGGTTGAGTAAAGGAGTAACCAAATGTGTAAATAGTGCAGTCTTAGCCCACTTGGTAGATACGGGACACCCGATAAAACTTGACCAGGCGTTCTCAGTTATTTACCGCGTTCCTAGTAATTTATCTAGAGGAGCTCGACTGCGTCTTCTATCAGTAGCTGAAGCGGTGGCAATTAATACCAGAAGACCATCTCTTTGCATACAGAAGAAGTATGTTCAACCACTATGTTTACCTTGGCCTACAATAAAGCCAACAAATCCTCCATTAACACTATAAACTCCTTTCACAATTTTCTTTTCTTTTCTTCTTCTTATATTCCTCTGTTTCATTGACAATTGTTCATTTTCGACTTTTATGATTTCATGACCTTCCTTATGATTTTATTACCTCGGGTTTAAGTAGTGCTTTTCTAATTTGCTATCGTATTTACAAAATCCTGTTCATTCCACTTCATTATATTCATTATTATTATTTGACAATCATTCACCAATAGTCCTTGTAATTCTACACCATATCATCGTTATTATTTGACAATCATTCTTATTGTTGTTATTTTCAACCTTGAACTTATGTCTAGTCCGCCCCATTCGTTGGTTTATTTTCATATTGTCTCACACACCTTGATTACACACACTCGCGAAACCTGTCTTTTTCTGTTGACTATATTTATATATATACACACATCATTAAATTAAATAACTTCATCTCATTTTGTCCCATGTTCTCATTGACCATGCATATTAAAAAACTATCTGACTATTGTTCCATCTCATATTATACTTGTTCCACAATACACTTTCTGATATGATTCTAATTTGCCTTTACTGGCTATTGTATGCTTAAATTAATGGATTTATAATTGTAGAACCTGAAGAAGAATTTATTGAAAACAATTGTTCGCTCTAAATATTTTGTTCTGAATAAATTATGGGAATATTCAATTTACTACGTTATTTATCAAGAAAGTAAAATAGATGAATAATCCTAAAAGCCAATCTAATCTGAGCCTGCAAACTAATTGTCCTTATACACAAGGATATAAAGGTTGATCCGAATCTTTTATTTTAGTAGTATTTCTCATAGTTTTCAAGCGTTATTTTGTAGGGATTGGGTCAATTTCAAGTCTGATCACGGATTG